TAACTAGGAGCAAAACATGTATTTGTATAGAGCGGTTAGAATATCCTCATTTCCTGTCAAGTCTGCAGGACAGGAAGTGAAGGGAAATCTCCATAGTGAGACACACAAAAAAAACTGGCAGCAATTTTAACTCTCTTCTACTCCATCCAAAATGAAGACAAGAAGTTTTGGCTTTAGATTTATTGTAAGGTCTTATGTAAGATCGGTCGGTGCACAACCATCGGAGGGTCATGTTGGTGCCTACAGATCAATTGGTGGTCAACCATCAGAGTGTCATGTTGGTGCCGACAGACCAATAGGTGGTCAACCATCGGAGGGTCATGTTGGTGCCTACAGATCAATTGGTGGTCAACCATCCGAGGGTCATGTTGGTGCCTACAGATCAATTGGTGGTCAACCATCAGAGGGTCATGTTGGTGCCTACAGATCAATTGGTGGTCAACCATCAGAGGGTCATGTTGGTGCCTACAGATCAATTGGTGGTCAACCATCAGAGTGTCATGTTGGTGCCGACAGACCAATAGGTGGTCAACCATCGGAGGGTCATGTTGGTGCCTACAGATCAATTGGTGGTCAACCATCCGAGGGTCATGTTGGTGCCTACAGATCAATTGGTGGTCAACCATCCGAGGGTCATGTTGGTGCCTACAGATCAATTGGTGGTCAACCATCAGAGGGTCATGTTGGTGCCTACAGATCAATTGGTGGTCAACCATCAGAGGGTCATATTGGTCCCTACAGATCAATAGGTGGTCAACCATCGGAGGGTCATGTTGGTGCCTACAGATCAATTGGTGGTCAACCATCAGAGGGTCATGTTGGTGCCTACAGATCAATCGGTGGACAACCATCAGAGGGTCATGTTGGTGGACAACCATCGGAGGGTCATGCTGGTCCTTACAGACATTTGGCATTCCATTTGTATGTATTTTGCGGTCTAGGTTCGGACTCCTCACTCATCTCCCGTCTTCAGAAGAGACTTGTGTTACGTTGCTGTGAGAACCACGTATGTTATCTGCTCCTCTGTCTGATCCATCACAGAATTCTCTGCTCATTAGACAATCTGGAAATCACTAAAAACCTTATTTATTGTCACCGTCTGTGCCAAATTCCTGTGCCCC